AATAGATGGCCACCATCCTGTCGGCCTTGGCTTGTATTACGCTGGCCTCGGCCCTGACTTCCACAACTTCGGCCTTGGCCTTCGCAAAACCAGCCTCGAGCTCGGCTATTCTGCCAACTTGAACCAAGTTGCTCCCTTGAGCATTCCGAAGTTGAACCTCAAGGGCTGATACCTTCGCCAGTGCATCATCTTTTTCCGTAATGAGGGCGTCCATCTTCGCCTTCCATTCATTGCACTCGGCTCGTACTTGATCGACCTCACCCCGGAGCTGCCCAATTATGTCTAGCTTTTGCTGCAGCTGAGACATTAAAGTATTAGCCTCCGAAGACGGGAGAGGTATCCTGTATTTTTTCAGAACAGAGGTTACCTACTTTTCTAACTCGCTCTCGTATTCCCGAGCTTCGGTCAACTCTGATCGAAGATGCTTCAGTTCTTCCTCCTTTTTGTCAAGAAGAAGCTTAAGGGTCTTCTCCTCATTTGAAGCCCTACGTAATTCAACTTCATAGTGACGCAATTCGGTCTTCAATTTGTCGAAGGACTACACAAAGGAAAAGAATAATCAATTAGACAAAGGAAGAAAAGTATGGCATTGGAGAAATATTAGTGCCACTAAAGACTTACAATTAAGCAGAGACACTGAGCCTCCTCGAATATTGAGCTCGTATCCACGGGGTCGGCCTCATCAACCCCGACAAAGTAACCCTGGAAGGGGTCGTTTTCACTCGGGACTCCGCCGAGCTCGGACGCCTTCACATTCTGAGCATCCCTGATGGTACCCTTGGAAAAGACCGGAAACGACGAAGGCAGACCTACTGTCATGGCCTCGGGGAGATCACCCGAGGCGCTCTATTCAGGCAGAGGAGCTTCGAAGCTCGCTCCCGTTGGAGCATTTCCAGAAGTTTGAGAAGCAGTGGCCACGTCAGATGATGCGGGGCCTTCATCCCCCTTTTCTTTTAAGGTTCCTTCTTCGGGGCTAGGGGCCCCGATCTCAGCAGGCTTGACAGCCTCGGAAGATTTTCTAGTTCGAGTTACCAGTGTCGAGCCATCCATCTCGTTACTGTCATCGTCCGTGAACTGGTAGGCCGAGTCAACATCCACATTGATAACGATGTTTTTCGCACACCTCCGAGCGGGCTCTGTTTGGCTTTTAGTGTCCTCTCTCTTCGAGGACCTCTTTCTCTTGTTATCGTCCTTTGGCTTTGAAGCCGAAGGCCCTGCTTCCTCCCCGGAAGGGGGCGGCCTCCTTTCGAAGAACTCACCAATACCTGCAACAAAGGAATCGCGTCACATGAAGAAAGACATTCCTAATAAAGAAAGAAACATTATGACACGTACCGTGGTGTTTCGCTTCCCACTTGCCCTTCGACAATTCCCGCCATTTGCGTTTGCCATATGGAGAAGTAGCAGCTAGTTTGCGAACCCAGTACTCAAGGTCGAGGATCGCATTAGGCATCCACGGAACCACTGCAGAGAAGGGAAAGGAGTAAGTACGCGAAGATTAGCAAAAATCTATGGAAAAGAACTAAAAGAATCCCACTCACGTTCGAAATTCCATTCCTCGGGGAACGGCAGGAACTAATCGGGAATAATATCGACGGTCCTCACCCGGATGAACCGGCTCATCCAACCTCGATCCTTCCCTTCGTCGTTACTGGCGAAGAAGGACTAGATCGATCGGCGTTGAAGTTTGATTAAACCCCGGAAATGTTGAGGCCGATATAATCGGATGAGGTGCCTGAGGGTGAACTCGAGCCCGCCTTTTTCGGCGAAGAACCTCATCATTATTACGATGTGCCAAAAGGACGGATGAATCTGGCCCAGGGTCACTTTATATCTTCGAAAAAATTCAAGCACGAGGGGGTCGAGGGGACCCAACGTAAAGGGGTATGTATACACACTCAGGAACCCCTCTACGTAAGTCGTGATGTCCTCCCCACGAGAAGGTATTTGCAGAACGACCTTCGCTTCCCAATTACACTCTTTCCTCACAGCATCGAGGTGTCCTTCCTCAATTGACATTATGTAACTCGATGCATGCTCTCGACGGCCGGGGACGTCGGGAGGGTTCTCAACTATAAGTCCTTTTGTAAAGAAAATCTGCTCGGTACGAGCTCGTGAAGCGCCCACGACTTACCACCGGCCGGACGGGAAGTGGAAGTGGGGTTTCCCTCTGTCTGAGGAATGGATTTGAAAGTTTTTGCCATCGGTTCTTTAGAAGAAGAAGATAGAAATGAATAAGATGGCGAGGTTTTGAGCCGATGCGGAGGAGGAACGGGAAGTAGAAAAGGAAACGTATAGAAGAGATTAGGTGCTACAAGACGGAAAAGTCCTTAATGAGAAGAGAAAACGAGTATATATAGAGGAAGGTGACGACATTTCATTAATATTGATGGCCAACCGGCTCTGACGCGTATTTAATGCTTTTGGGGAAGAGAACCGACGGGACGCTTCGGTCATTTCAACGCTTACGTCATAAAAATGATGACATCATAAAGGACTTCGGGAATTCAAACCGTTTCAAATCATTTCATTCTAAGAAACGCGGGGACTATCTGTATGCGGTTGAAATCGGAGAACTCGATTTCGAAGACTCAATGGAACCCCGGGACTCGAGCTCGGGCAGCACGAAGTAAAGACCAGAGCTGACTGGAAAATGCGTACCTCGAGAGAATCGAGGACCCAGCGTCATTTTCCTCGAGGGCAGTACAATTTCGATGACACTCAAGAAAGAGCGGAAATTTCTCAAGGACATGTGGGTCAGAGTATGAAATAAGGGATAAGATTTGTACGAAATAGTACAAGTCCGTACTAGGTTGTTATAGAGCTGTACCAATAGAATTCTTTGCCATAATTGGAAACGTACCATATTAGGGTTTTCCCCTTCTATATAAAGGGGACCCCCAATCTTTGTAAAAGACAGATGATTCACTGCAATAGAATATTTTACTATGCTTTTCTCGTTTACTGTGCTCCAAAAAATTATTCTTCGGCTTTATTGTTTTTTACTTTATTGTTCATACTTCATTGGCTTTTAGCTCACCTCGAGGTCCCCGAGATAACCGAGCTCGAGGTCCCCATTGCTCTAACAACCTTGGTTTGCTTCGTCAATTCTTCCTATTTTAACTTAATATAACTTGCATATTCACTAATATTAGAATAAATCACATATCTTTGAAACCACAAATCACATTTAATTGTTACTTATATTTTTCGAGGTAAACACGGTTGAAATTTGGATCTTTGATGAAACAGTGCTATTGCCTTCTATAATGGTAAGATGAATATATTTGAACTCATTGGACGATTATTAAGTAGAAAATATCTACATTAAAAAGTACGTTATAAATAATAATGTGACGTCAAATCCTATTAGATTCTAGTTCTAATTCTAGTTAAGGAGAAATAAACAAAAGCCATATATAAGTTGGCCACTCATGAGCTTATAAGTTTTGGTTTCACAAGAATCTTTTTAGGTTATTCTTAACTTTCTTTTTGTAATATCTGGAATATCCTTTATGTAAAAATACTTTTAAAATTGTACTTTTTTTGTAATATATATATCTAAAAGGGCACATAAATCATTCTAATAAAAAGGTGATTATTAGCTCTTTTTTTACCAAAAATATCAACTGGTTATTACTAACTCATCACTTCTATGATCTATCCAAGCCCGTAGGAGTTATTGATTATTTATCAAGCCAACTTTAATAATTAAAAGTGCTGAAAATATTTATCAGATATACTTTTAAGCAACTAAGCTAAATGAGCTCATAATAACTCAATATTCTGTCACAGGATTTCCAATATAATTCTTACCAGGCTTTTCTCTAAACAGAGACAGAGTGTTCCTCGAAAAATAAGGAAAGGAAACTACGTATATTAAGATAAAAGATGTTCAAAAATACGAAAAGAATTTTTTAAAAGGTTGAAGCGACCAAATTCCAAAGATGTTTAAGCCCATTATTCAATACTCAATAGTCAACACTTGAAAAGAGTAGTCTTAAAGTTCTCTTGTTGACAAAAAAAGAAACACCAAAGTTTTTTAACATTCAGGTGTGTGGTCTTTGGAGGCGGATTCAAGATTTAAATTAATGAGTTCAACTTTTAAAATTTTAGTATTAAATTTATTGTGCTGTTAAAATTTAATATTTGTCAAGATTTTAATAGTTTTCTTTTACGTATAAATCCATACTCTATGTCAAAAATTATAGGTTCAGCTCGTAGCTGAAAGCAGGGGCGGAGCTAGCATAGGACTTGCAGATTCGGCCGAACACAGTAACTTTGGTCTAAACCCTATATTTGTCTTAAAAAATTTCATTGAATATGTATAAATTCTTAATTTAGAGCGCACTAATATAAATGAACTAGAATCTCGAACACAAAAACTTCAAATCCTGGTCCCGCCTCTGTCTGAAAGGCTATATCTGCCCCTGGTTTTCAAATCTGTTGTTTAAGGGGGATGTGCCTTATAATTTTAATTAACATTTCTTAAACTTTAGACTGAAAACTTGGCACCTCAGTACGTACAAACCGCGTGGTACAACAGGAAATATCACCTAACAACAACATCATCCACTGTCCTCTTCTGTTACTAAGTTTGCGACAATATCTCTTAGACCTACGACTCAAAAAATTTCACACTTTACAAACCGACAGTTGAATACATTAATTTATACCACATGAACGTCCAAACGTGCTGAATCCCCAGTGGTTGCTGCTAGCTTGATGCATTACACTTGATGATAAAAATATAAAATAACAAAATAAACTTTTATCCGAACACTAATTTTTATCTACTTTGTCCTACACCCAAATATTTCATTTCAAACCCTCTGAAACAGCATGGAAGCTCCCTCCAACTTATAGTTCTATAACACATTAGAAATGATGCTTGTTCTGACTTTTAATTACTCCAATACATGTCTATATATACACTTAACTTGATCACACTTAAGACAAGCTAAATCTATTAGCATTATTAACACATTTAATTTAGCTGTATGGAAGAGAACAATAATACTAGCAAGCCTAGTAGAAGGGCTGGTGTTACATCACCTTATAGAGGTGTTAGAAAAAGGAAATGGGGAAAATGGGTGTCCGAAATTCGTGAGCCAGGGAAGAAAACAAGAATATGGCTAGGGAGTTTTGACACACCAGAGATGGCGGCCGCTGCCTATGATTCAGCTGCATTGCACCTCAAAGGGCATGCAGCAAAGCTAAATTTTCCAGAGTTGGTCGAGTTTCTCCCTAAACCAACAAGTTGTAGCCCTGACGATATACGTTTTGCAGCTCAAGAAGCTGCATTAAAAGTCAAGAGAAATTCTCAGGAGATGGCAAGTTCTAGTGCAACTAATAATTTAGCACCAGTAACCATAGGACTATCTCCAAGTCAAATTCAAGCTATTAATGACTTCCCTATGGATTCACCAAAAATGTGGAGTGATGTCACTAGAGAATATGTTGGAGAAGAGACAATGTTTACTTGCAACGATTATGAAATGAGTGATTATGAAGAAATGGATGATTGCCTATGGGATTCCTGAACAAACTGATTATAGATTCTGAATTCGCCAATGAGGATTACGTTTTATCTTAATATAACGTGTGCTATTTTATTTAACAAACATTGAGAGTGTGATGTTTGTACTAATTAATTTCCATGGTGTGCCACTTAATTAACTTTCTTATTGACTGGTGTCAATAGAGATGAACAAATGCTTAATTGGCTTTGTTCTTTAAGGTCGTCGCGGAGCATCAAAATGGGTTGGTTTTTTGACATCTCTTTTTGTGTTGCTTCACAAATATTGTAGTGAGTGAAGGAAGCTTCTTCTACTGTACTGTAATACATACTTGATTTGCCCTAATAAAATATTAACTGGATATTATTTGTGTGATGTATATTTTTTGTATGATTATCTTTTATTTATTTATTTCAGTATCCACTACAGGACCATTCTATTTATAAAAAGAATTTCTGACTAAAACAAGATTCTCGGATAAAGGACACAAGATTCATTTGCTATATATTTTAATACAACATTGACAAGTATCTAAGAACCTGTAAAGGAGAATATTCTAACCTTTGGTTTTACTCTGTTTTCTCCTTTAATTTGCAATTTTTCTTTTTCTTTTCGCATTTAGTTAAGAGCTTAGTCCAATTAGGCTCTTTCGGGCTATACTAATACCAACACTTAGTACTGACAAGATTTATTAAATTTACTTGGAATTATTAAGAGCAGCAACTTATTATGTTGCTAATTCGTGGTCTCGATCATTAAATGGAGAAAAGAATTGTGCATATATCTCAAATTAGTAAAGTTAAACGTTTTAGTATTAAAAAAATGTTTTAGTCAAATTCACGGAGAATCAAATTGAAAGTTGCACGAGAATAGTCCTCACACTTGAGCCTTAGGCGAAACCCTTAGGAGAGGTAAAAATGTCTTAAGTAATTTTGTAATTTGATTATCTCATCTTAGTTCGCAAGTGTATAAACTCATACTTCGGTCACTTCCTACTGTATCATATAGTTACTCTTGTCCCGTTTAATTTGAATTTTACCATTCTAAAATTTGTGTTAAATTTGTACGGCAACCAGTATTTATTGCTTTATTTTTTTCTTTCTATCCACATACTAGCATTATATTTCTAGGCCACAAGGGATTTTATTGGTGGACTTCTAGCAAGAAACTCAATTGTGATTAATTTCATGAATGTCCCATCAATCACAAGGTTGATCGAAAAGTTCCGTCGGCGGATTGGTTATTGGGCCAAATGGGCCATTTAAAAGTGACGGAAACCCAATATTTGCAAGTGACTATGTAATTTCTTAAGAAAAATTGGCCCATCCAATTTCTTAACCCGTAGATTCAAAATTGGAAATTTTACACCCTATAGATGTCACGTCCCGAACCTGGGCCTGGACGTAACACGGCACTCGGTGCCTGACTACATGTGCGAGCGAACCAACTGGCTGGCTAAATCAGCATGTGATATCATAACATACTGAATACGGAAGATAAACTAACACATGCTGATATACTGAAAGTCTGGATGATATAAATCAAATGCGGAAATACTAATACAATTTTGAAATATGTTTGTAGCCAACATGGCTTAACATGAAAAGTCTGAGACTCTGTCTAACTCTTACTCTAGTCTATAAAGTCTCTAATGAAATACTGAAAACACTGACTGTCTGAAAATACTGAAGACTGTAAGGTAATGATAATGCCCCGAAAGAACTGGGAATCACCAAACAGCTGGTACGAGAATCCTAGCGCTCTGAATCATCAACCTGTAAATCATTACCTGCATTGTGAGATGCAGGCCCCGGGCAAAAGGACGTCAGTACATTTGAATTGTACTGGTATGTAAAGCAACTGAAAGAAAGAATTATAAATGCTGAAACTGAAACTAAGCTGATAACTTAAATGATAACTATTGAAACTAAAACCGAAGTGAGAACTGGTAACTGAACTGATAACTGAAAAGATAACTGAACTGATAACTGATAACTGATAACTGATAACTGAAAAGATAACTGATAACTGATAATTGAACTGATAACTGAAAAGATAACTGATAACTGAACTGAATAAAGAAAGTAAGGATATGAATACTCCCTCTTCTGAATGATGAACAACCTTTTTATCTGAATAAGCTACGGCCTCGGGCCCAATATATATGTGCACATGCTACGGCCTCAGGCCCAAGTATACGTACACATAACTACGGCGTCAGGCCCAAAATGCATAAAGCATAAACTACGGCCTCAGGCCCAAACATGCATAAAGAATAAACTACGGCCTCAGGCCCAAATACAAGGTGTTCAACATTCAGGAACTGAGAATCAAACTGCAATACATGATAATGAAATACTGAATCACACTGAGTTACATAATACTAGAATACTGAATAGGAGTAGACTGAGACAAGTATTCTTGAACTGATTATGAACACTGAAACTTCAACTGTTTATGACATGCTGAGTAAGCTATACTGAGACTCAGGGAAATCAAAACCCAAGTCTATATTGAATACGAACTGAGCTCACAACGTTCAGAATGAAAGTCATGAACGAGTTATGAAGCTAGAGAATAGAAGTTCTACAACTATTCAAGGAACTAGGCTTAACTATATTTCTTAGGCAATTGATGACGTGGTAAAAGAAACGTAATGTAGGGAGAATCATTAACATTCCCAAACATAGAGAGTTAGCCTCAAATACCTTAACTTCCTGCTCTTGAGCGTAATACAACATTCGCCAACCCTTTCAACTTTAATCTATATCAATACAAGTCAAAGGGATCCCATATTAGCAATAATTCTCATATTTTGGTCACTTAAACATTTTATCAAACACTTGGTGAGTATAAAGCTTCATAATCCCTATTAATGGTGTTTCTACACCCAATAACCGATTCTCTTGCTCTTGGATAAATTTTAAAGTCTCAAAGGGTTATAATCAATATTATTCTTCATCACCCATAAGGTAAACAACACCCTTAACCAATAAAGTTACATTAAATAAACATCTTTCAATCTCTATAATAGTTGTGTATTTATATTAGGAACTTATAGCTTCTAATCACCACACCAAGAGTCCCAATACTTAATTCACACTCATATACCCATAATAAATTCATACATGTAAGTCTAAGGGTGTAGGATTACCTTTTGGAAGAAATCTTGCAAAACCCTCCGTTGAGTTCTTGAAGGAATTTCTTGAAGATCTATGTGTTTTATGAGTAGATTTCATCAATACTAGTATAAGAATGATGGAATTTCACACCAAGTTAATGGAGATTGCTTACCTTGAAGATGGGAGGGGTTGGAGGTCTTGAGAGGGTGGGAGAAGACCCCAAAATTCGTCCAGAAGAAATAGGGAAAAAAATGAACCTAAAATTGGCTAAAAGAGCCTGGGACTGGGGCGCGGTCTAACCTAGCGAAAGTGTCCTCACTTCGCTGTCCGTTGCATTCAAGGGAAGACAAAAATCCGCGTTACTTTAGTGAAGCGAGCTCGCTTCGCTGTCCGCCAAATAACTGGGTGGTATGTCTTTAGTAATTTGGTCAAACTTCTCTATAGGAAATGTCCAAATGACGAAACGGTTTCGAAGCTTTAGAAACTAAACTCAAGATCTTTCATTTGATTTGGTTGGTTGAATACACATAATAACTTATATAACATGTAGATATGCTCGTCCAAAGTATAGTCCCTTGTGCGTGCTCATTTTAGAAATTTTAGTCTATCAGTATTTTCTAAACGTGCTTAGACTTAGGTCTTTCCTTGGACCCCAAATAACTTATGAATATGCAATCGTATGCTATTTATCCTAACCAATGATAAACCATCACATTAATACTCATAGTGCATTCCATAACTGAAAATTCAAATTTACGGGGTGTTACATTATACTCTCCCCTTGGGATCATTCGTCTCGAATGATTGTCCTGGCTGCATCTTCGGTACACCCTGGACCTTAAATGGTCTGGTGGGAATATGAACTTTCATTAACACTTTGCATACTAAACTGAATGAATACATTTTGGATTTACTTGAACTGTTGAAGTATACTGAACTGAATGACCAACTGATTGACTGAATATTGGTCTGTCAATGGATACGTGAATACTGAACTAACATGGGTAAATGAAATTGAACTGGCACGATATTTGAGTAATCTGGAGTACTAAGCTGAATGAATGTCTAAGTATTAACTAACATGATCATAGCTGAGTATTGAGCTTGACATGAGTACTGATTAACTGCAAGATCTGAACTGAGTATCTGACATGAGTATTGACGATGAACGATCGACTGACATGCGTATCTAGTACTGAATGACATGAGTATCTGAGTACTGGACTGACATGAGATCTGAGTACCGGACTGACATGAGTATCTGAGTACTAAAAACTTGAATGTAAATAACATGACATGTTGAAATACCTGACCGTACCACCACTAATTATGGTGGCAAACTCCAACTCATAATCAATGACGATCCTTCGCAAGAACCTATATGCCTATATAGGAGGACTATTGCTTCCCCTTCTTGGCCAAATCACATAAAATGCTTTTCACAAGCGATGTTTCAGAATACCCCATCCATCAACTGAAACTCTAGGTCTCTATGCGCACATTCGAAAGGATTTTTGGCAGCTAGGCTCTGAGTTGTCTTCAGATGCTCTTGAATCCACTTAACTTTCTCTATAGCCTGATAGACCAAATTTGGTCCCATCACTCCCTTTCACCAACTTTAGACCAACCAATTGGTGATCTACACCTTCGGCCATAAAAATCATGCTTTCAAACTGAGCAAGATAATCCTATTATAATGTCCATATTTACCATCTTCACTAAAGGATGTGTGTGTTCTAAGATAAACACTTGGTTTTCTGCTGCTCGACTTTCACTTGCTGATAATTCAGACACTTGGCCACAAAGTATGCAACCTTCTTTTTCATGTCATCCCACCAATAAGTCTCCTGGAGATTATGATACATGTTTGGGGAACCTGGGTGGATAGAATACCTGGACATATGGACTTCTATCATCTTCCTCCC